ATCTTTCAGTGCTGAGCTGAATCCTCTGGGCCTGGGTCAGGCAGAAGCCAGAAGCCTGGAACTCCATCTGGGTCTCCCACATGGTTGGCAGGGGCCCAAGAATTCAGGCCATCTTCTTGTGCATTCCCAGGTGCATTAGCAGGGAGCAGAATAGGAAGTTGAGCAGCCAGCAACTGGGACTTGAACCAGCGATTTGATAAGAGATGCTGGCATTGTAGGCAGTGGGCTAATCCACTGCACTATGATACTGGCCCTAGACCAAAATATACTCTTGCCAGGAATCTGGAGGGGACTATTTGCTCTAATAATTTAACCTGTGCCTTAAGGTAAATTAGAGATCATCATACTTCTTCCATTCTATCACATAATGATGTTGCAAGGATTAATGAATAGTATGCTAAGAGCTTCTTTGACAAAAGAGCTATTTGAATGACATGTATTATTAGCAGATTAATATTAATTAGAATTATTCATCCATTTTTTTCTCTTCCAGTTTCTCAGGGTCAAATGCAATATTTACAGACTCACAGAGGAAGAGAGTACCCCTTTGCTTCTTGCAGTGAGAGTTTGGGAAGCAGAAGGAAACAGAAGGGAGATGGGTTCTTCTTGTTGCTTCCCACTGTAAATTTTTGGAAACTAGAGTTACCTGCATGGTCCCATGACCTGCTTTTCCTCTCTTGAGATTTGCTTCTGTGGTGCTAAGCCTGTTCCTTGTCAATATCATCTTACACAAGACAGGAGCAAGAACAACATCCTGAGAGTATGGCCAGTGTGGTTACGGGGCCCAGGCTCACAGGGTTCCATATTTGCTCTTAAAAATTTTCTTTGCTTATTTATTTGATAGTCAGAGTTACAGAGAGAGAGAGGGAGAGACATAAAGAGATCTTTCATCCCCTGGTTCACTCCCCCAACTGGCCACAATGGCCAGAACTGAGCCGGGCCGAAGCCAGGAACCAGGAACTTCATCCTGTCTTCCACGTGGGTGGAAGGCGCCCAAGCACCTGAGCCGTGTCCACTGCTTTCCCAGGCCATTTGCAGGAGCTGGATCAGAAGTAAAGCAGCCAGGACATAAAATGACACACATGTGGGATGCTGGCACCGCAGGCAGGGGCTTTACCCACTATGCCACAACACTGGCCCCTCCATACTTGTTTTTAAAATTTGTAGCAACTGTGTCTCTGAATTTATGTTTTGAGAGTGAAGTCTAATGGGACAGTGGAATCTGTGCCAGTGGCTTAGAGCCTTGTCTCATGTGTTGTTTCACATCTTGCCACCTGTCGGTGTGCCCTGGAATGATCCTCCATCATTCTCTTCTCTGATCCAGGCATCCCAGGGATCATGCAGTTCCCTTCTCTCCCCTCCCCCATCTATGACCACTGCTTCCCCCTTTCCCAGCAGGACTCTTGGTATATATAGGGAGGATTCGAGTTAGGCATGTGTGGATTGCCAAGGCTCAGGTGGGGCATGACAGTAATTGTCCCTCCCCTTGGCTGACATAGCTATAGTGTGGTGCACAGATGCCATGACTTGATTCTCCAGGGCCTACTCCTGGCTGGGCAGAGGACATCATTCTGGCAGCTGTCAGGAAGGGGTACGTAGCAGCTGGTGAGCTGAGTATGTGCCCTAAGTCAGAGGAAGCAGGGCCTCTCAGTTCCTGCAAGAGTTTTATGGTATCTTATGCCCCAAAATATGGTATTAAATACCACACCAAGTTAGTTGTGACAAATGTACTATAACAATGTATGACACGTGCAACTTTTTGGCCAATCTACAAGCATTTAAAATAAAAACTTCATTGCAAAACCAGTAGCAAAAAACATCTTGACAGATTGAGAGACAAAATGCAGAACAAAAGGATAAAGCTTCATTCATTAGTACCTGTAATAGTGCATTCTCCTGTTTTCTGAGCAAAGGATCCCACACTTTTATTTTTCAGTGGGCCCTGCAAATTATGCAGCTGATTCTTACTATAAAATCCCTTGCTGAGTATATCACTCTGCTGTCTCTCTTTCAATGCCAGCTCACACTGTTTCCCACCTTTCAATGCCAGGGCTTTGAGTTCTTTGATTATCATTAGTAATGGCTCCATGTGTTGATAACCTGTGAACTAGCTACCATACCAGGCACTTTAGACACTGTACCTCATTTACTCCCTTTATAACTTATGAGATAAGTATTTTTAGCCTTGTTTTATAGATGTATGAAATTGAGGTCCAGAATCATCCCCTCAATAGTAGTAGAGATAGTCAATTTCTCTGATTCTCACTCCAAAGCTACTGTTCTCTAGACCCTTCTACCTCCAGGTGCCCAACTATTTGGCATGGACAACTTCCATTATCCCCCATATTGACTCAGTACCAAACAAAGGATATGGTGCTAGAACTATGAAGTCACAGCACGGGGATCCGTCCTGACTGTACTGGTCATTTTCTTTGCCTGCGTCCACAAGTATCAGGTGTTTGAAGACCCCATTCTGAAATCTGTGCTTTCTGCCTTAGTTATCTGACAAGAAAGCTATGAAATGGGGCACAAAAGAAGTCTTGATTGTGGATTGGGAATTTTGGAAGTGAGACAGATCTAATGTAACTTCAAAATGTAACCAATAGCAAGTAGAAATTCTACTGTGGTTGACCTGAAAAAGAGGGGAAGTGAAGTGAAGTCCTATCCCATCTATCAGCCAGTTACTTATGTCTCATATTGGCCCAGTTCAAGAAGCACGTGGGTGTTTGTTCTGTGCAAAAGATAAGAAGTGAACGATGGCAGTAACATCCAATCAGTCTATCTTTGAAGAGGCCTCTTCCCCCCTCCCCACCCCCAGTGGTTCTATTATTGTATTTCCTTGGCCAAGCTTGAATGGACATTAGATCCCTTTTTCTCTTCATGACCAAGAGATGTGAGCTACCACCTTAGAGTTGGTTTGCGCATCAGCCTGAGCAACTTGCTGATCCCCCACTGTTCCGGTGCATGCCTGCCCTAGTCACAGACAACCACAGGCCGTGATGTGGAAGACACCAGGCACTGAAGCCGCAGTAGCCGGAGTAGCTGAAGTTTTTCTTTCATTAGCAGCAGGGCATGAGGATGGGAGGGTTCTGTGTCTTCAGGAAAAGCTTCTTTGGGGGAAAAAAAAAATGCTTTTCTGGAAGGGGACAGAGGAAGCACACTGGAGTTTTGGTCACACTAAGGGAGAGTGAAGAGGATCTTCCTGTTGAGGCGACATTGCAAAATTGAAGGAAAGGAAGGGAGGGAAGGTTTGGCTTGAAATGCGTTTTATTAAAAACACCTCAATTCTTGTCTGCACATTTTTGAGGAGTGTGAAAAAAAAATAGAGGAAGTTACCTCCAGTGGTTTTGTGGCTTTTTAAGCATGACATACAGGATATTGAATTTTAACCCCTGTTTCTCCTGAAGTGTACTCACATTTCGGGGATAAACAAAGCAACTATTCTTTGAAAAGTGCGCCTGTGGCCAAATGATTCCAGTCGGTTTATTCCCTTTTCGGCTTCAAGTATTTGAGTGCCACACATGTAAAATTATTAATATAATAATAAAAAAGCTAAGTGGTCTTACTAGGATCTCTGTATAAATGTATAATAAATGTATAAGAAGCGGGCTCCAACTCTGACAGAACTTTTATACTAAAACTCAATATGAGATTTATGGCTTTGTTAATGACTAGTGTGTGTTTGTGTTCCAGAAGGTTTGGTAGGGTCATTGTGTATTGTCCCCCGTTACAAAGAGTCATGTATGTTGGAGATTGCTTTTTATAGCCAGCTGTTGCTTCATTAAATCATCCAGCATTTATAAAATTAATTCAGTGTTTATTAACATGGGTTTCTTAAGTCAATAACCTGAAGTATGTGTTTAGACCCACAAACTTTTGGATACAGATCGCCATGTTGTGGATACATAAAACGTTTTAATTGTGCAGTCAAAATGTGATCTTGCAAAGGTTGGGGTTTGTTGTTGTTGTTGTTTTGTTTTTTTGTCTTTTGGTGGTAGGGACCACCGTGAAATATTTCCATAAAGTCTAGATAACAAAAAACGACAAATCAGAGCCCCCCGGCTTTAATCGAAATGAAAAATCTGCAGCATGCCCGTCTGGCTCCACCTGAAACTCCGGGTCAGAATTTCCCTGTGATCCTGGCACCCGCGGAAGGGAAGTTTTAGCTTTGTTTAGTATAACAAGAGCCGCAGGACTCCCAGGCCAATAAACGTGTTCACGTCAAACTCCAGACAGTTTTTCTTAGACTGAACTCTTATCAGGGAGACCTCATTTTGCCTCTAATTAAAGGAGAGAGTCAGGGGAGAGAAAACAAAAATCGCCTCGGTCTCGGACTGGTGCGAGGCAGCGTTTGCTGATTAAAAGTCATTCCTACCAAATACAGCGCCGCACCCCCGACCCGCACTTCTTCCCCCTCGCCCACCTCCCCGGAATGAATGACCGCTTCTCCCCGGAACGTAAGGCTCCGTCTCCCGCCCCCTCCCCCACCCCCACCCCCCACATCGGGACCGTCTGTTTCATTTAGAAGAAAAGCTAGATGAGGAAAAGCTTTCCTCATTTCTCCTCTAGACTGCAAACACTCCGAAATGACATCAGGCGCCCTGAACAGCGCGGGATGACTAAGGCCGCGCGCGCCTGTGAGAAAACTCTCCCGGCTTCGTGGCCTCGGGTTTTCGGACACATGTATGCAGATGAGCTTGCCAGAGCCGGCTCCCCGCCTTCTTCCTCAGAGGAAGTTTCTTGGTAGATCACTGACACCTCATCCCGGCGGGCGGGGGCGCGGGGGGCGTGAAAACTTGGCGGCGGCCGGCGCGCACAGCGCCTCACGTTGATTTGTTCTCCGCGAGGAGAGAGCTGCAAGGCAGGAGTCGGCGCGCAAATAATGAAGGAGCTCGGCGGCACCTTCAGTAGCGCCGGGATCAGCGGTGGCAGCCGGGCCCCTGCTATGGACAGCCTGCAGCCGCTGCAGCCTAACTACATGTCTGTGTGTTTGTTTGCAGAAGAATCTTATCAAAAGTTAGCAATGGAAACGCTGGAGGAGCTAGACTGGTGCCTAGACCAGCTAGAGACCATACAGACCTACCGCTCTGTCAGCGAGATGGCTTCTAACAAGGTAAGAGAGGACCCTGTTATTCCGGAGAGGGGGACCCTTTGCAGGGAGGGGGCTCTGGCTGCCCTGGCCCCTGCCCGCCGCCCCTGTGTCAGAATCTGTGTGCGGATCCGTCTCGGAAGATTCCGGTCCGACGTGCCACAGCCTCCCCGTGTTGTGGTACCACAGCAAAAGTTGAAAATCCTCAGTAAGCCGTCATGTCCTGGAGCCAAACTTCTGTCTGCTGGATGCAGTACAGAATGTAAAGCTTCTTTATCACAGAAATGAAAGCTTTGTTGTTGTGGTTGCTGCTTCTGTTTGTCTTTTCCATTTATCAGGAAACTAAAATCTGAATGAGTCCATAGCGTAACGTATACAACACCTTGCGTTGCCATCAGGTGTTGTTCATAGATTTTTTAAACAGGAAAGTACTCTGACCTCCTTCTGTCCATGGAAGAAAATGACTTGCTCTCAAGTTTGAAAAATTTCTTCCGAGGACGTAGTAAGATTTTGTCGTGACCTAAGACAATAAACACAATTTACTTGGTTCTCTGAAACAGAAAGTAATTTTTTTTTAAAAAAGAGTTTGCTGTTTTTCAAAGTGGAATCATTTGAAATTAAGTTCCACTTATATGGCAAGAAAAAAAAAGGTTTTATTTACAATCTCCAGACAAAGCTTAGTGTTGAAGAGCTTTAATTATGTATCATTATATCATTTGTTTAATTAACACCTGGACTTAGAGTGCTAATTTATCTAGTGAGAGTTGTTGCTTGTTGTTTCTGTTTGTTTGTATTTTAACTTGGAGAATATTAGCTATGCAAGCACAGTAAAAGCAATAAAGTTATACGTATGTATTTGTGCGGAGTTGTGTATATACATGCACGTACCTACTTGGACAGAAAGCCTTCCCGCTGTTGCCCTCATAAAGGTGTGTTTTCAGAGTCCTCGATCTCTCTAGCCTGAGGAGTTGTGTGCTTGTCTTGGATTTCTGGGACTGGGAAGAGGTTTTGCTCCTGCACCCCCTAACATGCCCTTGCCAGCCCTGAGGTGTACTCATGAATAGGAGTCCCTCCTCCCTCTCTCCAGGGCTTGGAAGTATCACCTTTGGATCCAGACTTGCTGGCTCCAGCACAAAGGATCTGAGCAGAGGAAGCAATGCATCCTTAGGAGATCCTGAAGGAAGGGAGGGGAAACTTTTCTTACTCTGCAACTCTGTTTATTGGTTAAGAAAAGGGCAAAAAAAATAAGTCCCTTTCTGAGCTTTTAGTCCAGAGTTCACAAGTTGGGGGTGGGAGGTGGGACACCTACGAAGTTTAACTATTTACAGACTTTCTCTGAAGGCTACATTCAGGGACTTTCCAGGTTGGTGCAAATCTCAACCAGTTGCTTCCCCGTGAGGAGGGCTTAACTGCTTATCTTCTTGAGATCCTGTGAGGATCCCAGGTAAAAGGACTTTCACACAGGGTTTCACACACTTTGGAGCATTAGCAAACACTCTGTTCTGCATATTTTGTGATATTTGGTATCCGTACATGATGTAGGTCCATTATTTAGGGGTAATTTTTCAGTAGGTTAAAACATAGAGGAACTTGGGCAGTCACCAAGATAAAGCAGGCAACTAACTGCAGGAGGAGGTAAAGAAGACTTCTTAAGAAACTCCACATTGTCTTTACTTTTCCTTTTTAGTGTTGATATGCTGTAGCCTTCTAACCAGATTTGTGTCTGGAGTGCTGACATTGGACAGTGTCTGTCTTGCAAACTTACTCAAAGTAATTTCATATTCATCATAGTAGTTAACAAGAGTCTGAGACCAGGAACCACACAGATCTTGGTGAGAATGCCAGTCCCTCAGGCTTCCGCCCCTCCACTATGGTACAGTGTGCAGGAAGCAATGAAAGTTGAATAGAGCTAACCCTAAAGAAAGGGCAAAACCTTAAGGCTGACTATTAGCTTAAGTAGAAGTCATGTCACCTCAACTATTTTCACTGGAAAGGTTGTAGGGCAAAGCAACTACCCAGGCCCAACTGACAGCTAAAGGCAATTTCAATTTTTTAAAAAATTTAAAAAAACTTTTTTTTTACTTAACTACCTTTTTTGGTAAAGTCTTAAGTACTCGGATAATTGTCTTGGGTGAAGTGTAAGCATAATGTCAACCAGGCTACATATAATGCAATGAGAATAATTTTATGACCACTAAAAAGAAATTGATCTATATTAGTTTTGGGGAGAAACAAATGATTTATTCCATATAAAATTTTAATTGTTGTTGAAATTATTTGAAATGTTTAAGTTGCTACTTAAAAATATTATCATTGTCATTACTATCATTACTATGTATCCTTATTTGGTCATATTTCTTACTAAATGAAGAAGCCAAGACAGATCTCTGATTTACAGAGTTAGAAGTGAGTGTGAATATTTTTTAAAAAGATTTTATTTATTTATTTGAAGGTAGAATTATAGACAGAGAGAGGGAGATGCAGAGAGAAAGGTCTTCTATCTGCTGGCTCGCTCCCGAAATGGCCACAACGGCTGCAGCTGAACCCATCCAAAGGCAGGAGCCAGGGGCCTCCTCCTGTCTCCCACACAAGATCAGGGGCCCAAGCACTTGGGCCATCTTCTGTTGTTTTCCCAGGCCATATGAGAGAGCTGAATCAGAAGAGGAGCAGCTGGGACTTGAACTGGCATCCATATGGGATGCCGATGCTGCAGGCGGAGGCTTTGCCTTCTACATCACAGCACCAGCCCCATGAAGACATTTTTATAATAATAAAAAAAAGGTTTATTTTGTTGAAAAGCAGAGTGACAAAGAGAGACAGAGGCAGAGATCTCCCACCCACTGGTTCATTCCCAGTACCCATAAACAACCAAGTCTGGGCCAGGCCAAAGCAGGAATTGGGAACTCAGTCCAGGTCTTCCTTGAGGGTGGCAAGAATCCAGCTACTTGAGCTATCACCTACCGCCTCCCATGATACACATTTTCAGAATGCTAGAACCAGGAGCGATGTCAGGTGTGAAACCCAGGCATTCCAATGTTGGATGTGGGTGTCCCAAGCAGTATCTTAACTGTTGCGACAGACCCCTGCCCCTATAAAGTGGTTTTGAAGAGCCTGGGCTTTTCAGTTAGAAATCAGTGTCTGAACTCTGCCTTTAGTATTTACTAGCTATTTGACCTGGACAGCTTAACTCTTCCAAAACTCAATTTTCTCATCTGTAAAACAAGAATAAAAAGGATGCCTTTTAGGGCTGCTGTTGTGGTGCAGTGGGTTAAGCCTCAGCCTGCGGTACGGACATCCTATGTGGGTGCCACTTCAAGTGCTGGCTGCTCCACTTCTGATGAGTTCCCTGATACTGTGCCTGGAAAAGCTCTAGGAAACTCTCTTGGTTGTTGTATGGATTAATTTAGATAATGTGGCTAAAGGCCCGTGGCATGAAGTAGTAACTCAGTAAATGGTAACTTATTCACAGAATCCACTACATTTTTACAAAGAATCTGTGTTTCTAGCTCTGTTGTATTGTTTTAACTTACTTAAAAGTGATGATGGGAGAGCCAGTGTGACCCATAGCTTGGCATAAAGGGTCCATTAAGAAGTTTATGGATAATGGAATTAAAAGATAAAACTTCTTTGGTGCATTTTTTTTTTTTTTTTGGACAGAGTTAGACAGTGAGAGAGAGAGAGAGAGAGAGACAAAGGTCTTCCTTTTCTGTTGGTCCACCCCCCAAATGGCTATTATGGCCAGCACGCTGCGCTGATCCGAAGCCAGGAGCCAGGTGCTGTTCCTGGTCTCCCATGCGGGTGCAGGGCCCAAGCACTTGGGCCATCCTCCACTGCACTCCCGGGCCACAACAGAGAGCTGGACTGGAAGAGAAGCAGCTGGGACAGAATCCGGCGCCCCGAACGGGACTAGAACCCGGTGTGCTGGCACCGCAGGCAGAGGATTAACCTAGTGAGCCATGGCGCCGGCCTGGTGCAACTTTTTTTAAAAAGCTTTATTTATTAATTTGAAAGTCAGAGCTACACAGAGAGAAGGAGAGGCAGAGAGATACAGAGGGAGAGAGGTCTTCTATCCGCTGGTTCACTCCCCAGTGGGCCACAATGGCTGGAGCTGAGCCTATCTGATGCCAGGAGCTTCTTCTGGGTCTCCCATGTGGGTGCAGGGGCCCAAGGACTTGGGTCACTTTCTACTGCTTTCCCAGGCCACAGCAGAGAGCTGGATAGGAAGTGGAGCAACTGGGACTCGAACCGGCGCCCATATGGGATGCCAGCACTGCAGGCGGTAGCTTTACCCGCTATTACCCGCTATGGCACAATGCCGAGCCCCCAATTTTTTTTTTAAATCCGTGCATGCGAGTGTTTTTCAAAAGACTAGTTAAAATGCATATTATGAAAATAAAGAAACAAACGGTGGACCAAAATGAACTTACATTTTAATTCCATTTGCCATCAGTTTTTTGAAGTACCCTCATATTTGGGAATGACATATGTGCCAGTCAGCATTCAGAGGGGCACTCCGGTATGTCTGGTATATGGAAAGCAAGAAGTCTTTCATCCTTTTTTCATTGTTGTTCATTTTTTGGTTTGCTTTAGTTAACCACTTTACATTTTGAAGACAACTGAGTAATTAAAAGATTGTAACTGAATTTCCCAAGTGTGCTGCAGAATCCAGGTAGTTAGATAAGGAACTGGCTTTTTTAAATCTTTTTTTTAATTTAAGATTTATTTATTTATTTGAAAGGCAGAGAGAGGGAGAGGTAGAGACAGACAGAGATCTTCCATCTACTGGCTCACTCCCCAAATGGTCTCAATAGCCAGGAGCCAGGAGCTTCATCCTGGTCTTCCAAGTGGGTTGTAGGGACTGAAGCAATTGGGCCATCCTCTGCTGCTTTCCCAGGCGCATTAGAAGGGACCTGGGTTGGCAATGGAGTAGCCGATACTCGAACCAGTGCCCATCCGGGATGCCGGCTGTGCAAGCAGAGGCTTATCCTACTGCAGGCAGCACTATGCCACTGCAGTGCACTGGC